AAGAATTGGAATGCACATGAAAAAAACAGATACAAATGGGCATCTTACAACTGAAAAATCCAGAATCTAAAATTAAGACCTCAATGGAGGTTTAAAGAGAAAATAAATTACAGAGAAAGTTGAACTAGTAAACATATGACAGAGTATAAGAATATATTTCAAGTGAGACATAGAAAAAGCTGGAAAGAACTAAACCTAAGAAATACTGGGCAGACCCAGAGGGATCGGGTAGAGAGGGAGGTGGGAGGGGGGATCAGGATGGGGAAAACATGTAGATCCATGGCTGATTCATGTCAGTGTATGACAAAAACCACTACAATATTGTAAAGTAATTATCCTCCAACTAATAAAAATAAATGAGAAAAAAAAACTAAAAGAAACCATGTAGAAACAAAATTAAAAGACAAGTGAAAAAATGGAGAACAATGTTTATATCATAATCAATCAAGGTTTCCCTGGTGGCTCAGGTGGTAAAGAATCTGCTTACAATGCAGGAGACCCAGGTTCGATCCCTGAGTCAGGAAGATCCCCTGGAGAAGGGATTGGCAACCCACTCCAGTATTCTTACCTGGAGACTTCCATGGACAGAGGAGCCTGACAGGCTATAGCCCATGGGCTTACAAAGAGTCAGACACAACTGAGTGACTAACACTTTCTTTTAACTTCAATCAACCAAATATTAACATCATTTTCACATAAAGGCTATGATAAATCAATAAGGACGTAATTATCACCACCACCAAAAAAAGGAAAAGATGAATAGGTACAGGGAGTTCACCAAAGGAGGAATACAAATGGCAAATATGTAAGAACACTAGAAATGTGCAAGAACACTAGAAATCAAAGAAATGCAGCTGTCTTGGACTAAAAGCTTTTAGTTTTAAAATGTACATCTCACTAACAAGCTATACATCTGGGTGTGTATTTAGCCTTTTGGAAGCAGTCCGGATTCAAGTCCCAGTTCTGCTACATACTAACTGAGGGATACTGGATAAATTATTTAGCTTCTATAAACCTCAGTACTCTCATTTGTAAAACAAAGATACCAACATTCCCTACATCACAGTAATGTGAGGAGTAAATGAAATTGTACAAATAAATTACCTAGTACATGGTAAGAATTTAATAAATGTTTGCTATTTTATTAACACAGGCATGCATGCTGACTCACTTCAGTCATGTTCAATTCTTTGCAATCCTATGGACTGCAGCCTGCCAGTCTCCTCTGTCCATATGATTCTCTAGGCAAGAATACTGCAGTGCATTGCCATGACCTCCTCCAGGGGATTTTCCCAACCCAGGGATCAAATGAACCTGTGTCTCTTAAGTCTCCTGCATTGGCAGGTGGGTTCTTTACCACTAGCACCGTCTGGGAAGCCCATTTTATTAGTACTTATCCTCACATATTGGGTAATCATGAAAGCATTGGGCTATTAAGAAGCTTCCGTCTTCCAGCTTTTTGAGTTATTCCAAGATTACATATATACACACACACAAACACAAGAAATACATAATGAACAATCGTTATTAATGACTGAAGTACTGGTATCAAAATAATGGGAATAGTTAAGAATTATTTGGGTCTTTCTTGATTTTTAAAAAGTCACTCTAAAAGAAAACACAATTTGTGGCTTCATTATTTTTCTGCTAGCAGAAACATTTTATGTGTGTTTTAAATCAAGAGGCTAAAACCAGGTGTAAAAGACACACACACACATACACACACACACACACACACACACACACATATAACTTAAATTCAGGAAATTTTTTAATAAAAGATACTTTTAAGTCACTAATTATTTTTATCACTTTAGAACTTATATTTTAAATTTGATAATATTTAAAAGGTTAATTAAGGATGAACATCTTAGAATATAATGCTCAGTGAAATAAGTCAGACAAACAAATATTAATATCACTTACATTTGGAATCTAAAAAAAAATAATACAAATGTATCTATATATAAAGCAGAAACATACAGGCATAGAAGACAAACTTGCGGTTACCAAAGGGGAAGGGGGAACAAATGAGGAATATGGAATTAACAGATATAAACTATTAAACATAAAATAGATAAGCAACAAGGATTTATAATACAGGGGAATATATACCTAATATCTTGTAAGAACCTAAAATGGAATTAATCAGTAAAAAACCCCAAATCACTATGCTATATACCTGAAACTAACAAAGTATTGTAAGCCAACTATGCTTTAATGTTTTTAAGTTTAATTAGTAACTTCTTTCCTTTTGGCAGCCAGTAAAATGCAAATAGTAATAAATTAGATATATTTAAAAATATTTATATAACATATGCTTATAGAGTTCTGTATTAAAGTGATCTAAATAAAAAAATAAAATTATTTGGTTAAGTTATTTTGTTAATAGGCTTAAGATGCTGATAATGATTTCTAGGTAAATATCTTACAAATATACTTCTGAACATAAAAACTCTCGGTATAATATGTAATTGTAGCAACAAAAGTCACCTTAAACTCCCCAATCACAGATAGGGAGTCTTTTGAATTTACATTGGTAGTCACTCCCTTATGGAATAGAGCAACAGTGGCAGCCATAAATAAAAGGAAAACAATGGAGGAGAGATATGAAAGAGATAGAAATCATTGCACTCATGTATATTTAAAGTAACCTTTACAAATCAAACAATATTCTTCAGTCTTAAAATATCACAGGAAATAAAGGGAGAGATTCAAATGTGAATGGAAGAATTGGGGGGCACAGAGGAAGGGGAAGACTGATTAAGGCTGATGAACAAGGAAACGAGAGAAAGAAACTGAGTTAAAGAAAGGCAGATAGGACACTACAAACGGGACATGACTCACAAGAAAGGAAATAAAAACAGAGATGAGCTAATGGACATACGCACTCCATGGAAAAAATGTCCATGGGAATAAAATATCCAAAAAAAACCACCATAACTCAGAAACACTCTTTAAGGAAGGAATATACTTCTTGTCTAACCTTTCTTCAATGAAGCTGTTAAAGATGATCGGAAGAGTTGTGGTTTTTCATCTTTAGGCTTACACAGAGCCATGAACATCTTTTACTGGTCCCCACAGGCTGAAAACATTAACCTAACGGTTGATTCTGGCCCAAAGGCTAGAAGTTGTCCACTCACACACTTCACAACAGAAACTATTCAATTTTCTGTTGCATCTCCTAAAAAAAAGAATGCTATAAATAATAAATAATACATCCTTTGAAATTTTTTGACATTTCACATATAGAAAAACCATGAGCCAATTTCTCCCATGTACTGGCTGAGGTATTCCAAAACTGTAACAGACATATTTCTGTTTAAATAAATTAGTCTTGCAACTGTAATTTTAACTTGAAATTGACAAAATCTCTTTATTTCTTGCATATGAAAACCTTATATTTTAATTATAATAGGGTGTGAATCCTTTTATAACCTGGATTTTTAAAAGGTATTACCCATTTGGGTAATGAAAAGAGGATGTTAATGTACTAGCCTCCTTGAGGAGCCTTGTGGGCTACAGCCCATGGGGTTGCAAAGAGTTGGACACAACTGAGCCACTAACACTTTTCCTTGAAAATATTTCAAACATTTTCATACAATACTATAAAACTCACCTTTTCCTGCTCTTAGCCTAGTCGTAGTTTCTTTCATTTATAAAACAACCATATTCAAGTCTCACTGTGGCGTAGTAACTTTTTTTTGCGTGCATGGTCAGTCACTCAGTCATGTCTGACTCTTTGTGACCCAACTGACCATAGCCCACCAGTCTCCTCTGTCCATGGGATTTTTCAGGCAAGAATATTAGAGTGGGTTGCCATTTCCTCCTCCAGAGGATCTTCCCCACCCAGGGATTGAACCCACATCTCCTGTGTCTCCTGCATTGGCAGGTGGATTCTTTATCATTGAGCCACGTGGGAAGCCCAGCAACATTTTTAGTTCCATTCAACTTCTTCCCATTAAATAAAGATATCAACTATACAACCCTCCGATTATAAATAAAATCCAAGATATTGTTTGACAATGAGATGTTTATTAAACTTGATACATTTACTATATAAGAATTCTGTGGAAAAAACTGGGGTATCAAACAGGATCTAGGTCTCTGCATTATAAAGTCTGTCCCCAGAAGATATTCTCTCACTATATCCTGCAGCTGAAATCATACAGATGACCAAAACGCAGCAACATCCTTTCCTGGTAAGACAAGTTCAGCTGCCTTGCCCATATTATTACAATCCTCCTAGAAAAATGTGAAGTCCCGATCCCCATCTCTACACATTGTTATCTCCTGGGCAGGTAAGCTGGATGAAGCACCTGGGCCAGGCCTTCATCTGTGCTTGGCATGAGGTCCACACAGGGTCAACCTTCGGAAGGCCATTTTCCCCTCAACCAGACAATTCTACTTCAACTATTCTGTGACTCCTTGGAGGGGTGAAACTTCTGGGGAAATGAAAGAGAGAAAGAGAGAGAAAAGATCTGAATATCGAAAGGAATATACAAATGATCAAATTCAGCTGCACCAATGTCAAGGGGAAGGATAAAAAGTTAGAAAACAAGCAATTTTGCAAAATGCTTTTTGGTATGACAAAACCCGACCAGAGTGTCACTGTTCTGACATATTTGTGAGGGCCACCCATTCTCTTACCAGGCACAGGAGTCTCCATCATGAGGTGTTTGTGGTTGGTAAACAGTTCAGAGGAGTCTTGTTCTATTGATCTTTCCTCTAGGTCTGATTCTGGGATTGTAGCACAGCCACCTAGTTGAAAAATACAAATAATATTTTAAAGAACAGAAAAATCAATCTTTCCAGACATCAACAACAGCTTAAGAACGTACCAGTCGTGAAGATGATGAACGATGAGACAACAACCTTCAGGAGCTGAGCAAAAAAATAATAATAATCTTCAATGTATTTCTTTTGGAGAAAATGCTGGAAATGAGTTATTGCCCTCAAAGACACACCAATGATCACTCAGCAACAACAGCAGTGGTGTTGTCTTCAAATTTATCCTTTTAAAATTCAGAATGGACAAAATCTATGGTATATGTGATACCCATACTATAATGGTAATTATATTAATAGTATGAAATTCCCTTTGGGATCAGAGCACCAGAAACTATAAAAGAAACAAACCACATCAACCATGAGGGAAAGAAATCTTCCTTGAACAAAGAGAATGGATGCTAGTGTTCTGAGACGGTGACCATGGTGGTAATTCTCTGGTGTTTAATTCTATTCCTGAATCCCAACACCTTATAGCACAGACACAAACACTTAATTATTCAACAGCAAAACCATGAATTGCATTTAGAAGCTTTCAATTCCAAGTCAATTCCAAGGTGACTTGAGGATGAGCTGGCACGACTGCACTTTTAAAATATTAAGTATAAGTCATTTGACTTTATCCACCAAAATCTTGTATGGAAAACTCATGTGAGAACTTCCTGACTACATCTGCAACTTGATTTGACTAATTTGCCATCACTTTTCTGGAAATGTACTAACATGCTGTATACTGTACACGTTTTTTCCCAAAGCCATTCTTCTTGTAAATGAAGTGTGATTTTTATTTCTTTTTCTGAGGCTTCTCATACACTGAGTCCAAAGCCTCCACATTCAAGTTTTGCTTTATGTATGAGGGGGTTTATAAAGCGAGGGTACCAGCAGCACTGATGTGTAAACCACATCATTCAAGTGAGAGGGAAGTGGCCAGATCCCAGGTCTGAAGGAAAATACACCTTATCCCTCTGTATCAGCTCTTAAAAAGAAATCGATGTTGAGGGAAACTTGAGAGACAAGGATTTCCACACTCATAAAATAAGAATTAGAGGTCGCCTCAGAGGTTCCCCAAACAGGAAATGTTAGAATTATCCATCAATGCAATGGAACTCACCCAGCTATATCTGAAAATAGCTAGGGCCCTATCCAGAAGGAGAACCAGGTTTATTTTTAATCTCTTTCCAAAACTTATAGATCATAGTGACAATAACTATCATTACTACACACTTTCTCAGTGATGATAACTCTGCCCATATTATCTTGTTTAGTTCCTACAAACCACGCCATGGAACAGATAATATTATTCTCCTTTTACAGATATGAAAATGGAGGTCTCATGAGATCAGTACTTCATTTCCTGGAAATGTTCTAACATGTTGTACAGTGTACTTATTTTTCTTCCCAAAGCTATTCTTATTAAGTCTTTGCCAAGGTCACACAGCTCCTAAGGAGTAAGACAGAGCTCACACCCAAGCCTGACAACTCCCAAAGCCTGTGTTTAAGTATTACTATATGGCTCCCAGTTGCAGCATCAGTCAGAGATCCCTGGTGGGCAGGTCTTGGGTGGCAGCATGTTCTCTCTCACCTGCTGGTCTACCAGGTGTGGCTGTCGGAGCACTGCTTAGGGTACTGCAAGAACAGGGACAGGCTCAGAGCCACTGTGGGACTCTGAGAAGCCCAACAGATAGCACCCTTCTTCTCGTGGGCCCTCATCTAACTGAGAAAAAGGAACAGGGTATTTGGAGGTGGGGAAGGGGCACCTCTGTAAGGTTAATGACAGGAAGAACAGAGGGAAGGGAGTGGTGGTGGTGATTTAGTCACTAAGCATGTCCAACTCTTGCGACCCCTTGGACTATAGCCTGCCAGGCTCCTCTGTCCCTGGGATTTTCCAGGCAAGAATACTGGAGTGGGTTGCCATCTCCTTCTCCAAAAAAGAAGGGAGTGCTCCCTGCAAAACAGAACACCAACCCCAAGAAAATAGGCCAAAGAAAGGCTTTCTAGACTCATAAATCAGATTAAGTCATTTCTCCATCCCCAAGGCAGAGGGAAGAAGCAGGATGAGGACAGGAACGTTGTACTGATGCAGCTACCTTTGCATGCAAGAAAACTTTGAGAGTGGAGAAGAAGTGTCTCCTGCCAAGAGATGGGAGAGAGTGCAGTGGTGCTGCCATGCGTGCAGAGGCAAGTCTCCACTGATTAATCAGTGTCTAGCGTTTACTCCAGCCGACTCAATACTGGAGCGAGTGAGAAGGCACAACGGAGAAGTCAGTTGCTTTAGACCATCCTGTAGATGCTACATTACGTGAATTACAACATATGTAATCTCTTGTCCTTAGCACAAAAGTTTTGCCTTGTCCAGAGTACAGAGAGATGACGAATCTTTCAAATCCCACTGCAGGGCTGACCAGTCACATGCCCTAGAAATGCCACCCTCTTTTCTTCAGATATCTCCGTGTGGCCAGAGTGACCAACTGTGTGCCTGGTCAAGCATGGAAGGAACAGTAGGATGGGAGCTCTGGCATTCTGACCAACGGGAACAGGGGGAAGGGAAGGAGCCCGGTGGAGAATCCCCCTACTGCTTCTTCCAGGGCTGACCCTGAATTGTTATTCCTTTTTTGCCAACCTCCAGAAAAATGCTGTGCTGAGTGCTCTCTTCCTGGCTCTTTGAGAGAAGTGGTCAGGCAGGCAGGATGCATCACAAAGTGGTGCACATAGTTCCTTGACCCACTTCCCTTTCTCCTCATCCTCCCTTCCCTGAATTGGCCAAATAAAATGCTACTTTTTCTGTCTCAGGTTTGTTTTCTTGCAAAAATCACTGGCATGGGAAGTAGTATTAAAAAGCAGGACTTCAAGATGAAAGTTTGAAGTTAGATCACCCATCTATCTCTATGAAATAGGGGCTCCATGGCTGGGGGTAAACAGATGGAATACCAAGTAGTTTGCCAGTCTGTGGCCTAATCAAAGGCTCACAGAAAGCTACTCTTCATACAGCATCCTAATTTGGGTTATGCAATTGCTTAAGCTTTCATCCATGGTTAACTGGGATGAGGTACATTTAGAGGTCAAGATTGGGAGATCAAGTAGCTGTGGCATGGCAACATTTATAAGGGCTATAGAGTAGGGTGGCTGCTTCTGATAACTAGATATCCTGCAAAAAGAAAATGGCAAGTTTAGTTCAGTTAGCAGGCAGCAGAAGGCAGATCCAGCAAGTCAGAAGGCCTTACTGGTTTAAGCCAGATCACCGGGCCAGCAGCACCAGATATGCTGGGGAGCTTATTATAAATGCAACCTCAGGCCCCATCCACACTACTGAATTAGAATCTGCTAAGAAGGGCAGATGGGTATATCTGATGAGATTTTTGTTAGGAAAAAATATTTGTTAAAAACTCCAGAGTAGCCAGTAAAAGGAGAGAAATAAATATAAAATCTCCAAACTAACAGAGGCCTTCTGAAGCCCATCTTGGAAGTGGAGTCTGGGTTCCACTGATGTTAGATAAAGGATCCTAGGCTTAGACGCCTAGGAGAAGGGGAGAAGGGGAAGAAAAACCACAGCCGAATGAAATTATCCAAACACACATTGTGTGTGTGTGTCACAGAGGACCCAGGGGCAAAAGCAAGGGAAAGTCAGGGACTTCCTGATCTGGAAAGCACAGTGCTGTGGACTCACTGTGTGCTGGGCACTTGGCCGCGAATTCTCAATGCATTAGCTCACTCAGCCCTCAAACAACTCTGTAACGAAGGGACCCATGTGGCCACTTCTGAAGTTGACTACTCTATTTACTCATGCTACTTGATCTGCTGAGTTCTATTTGAGAGATACTTGATTCTAACCCAGATGAATCCTGGTGGCCCAGCTTACCTGCCTCACTATCTGGTACTCAGGTAGCCTGAACAGGAGGTTTGCTGAATAGCACATATTTTTAGGCTGTGGGCCATCTGGTCTGTGGTCTCAGTTTTGCCACTGTAGTGCAAAAGCATCCAAGGACAAAATGAAAACATGAATGAGCATCAGCTATGTTCCAATAAAACTTCATTGATTAAAGCAGGCAATGGGTCAGATCTGGCCCATTAGCTGTAAGTAGTTTGCCAACCCCTGGCCTAATTCAAGCTACTCTTCATATAGCATCTTAATTCTAAATGTTCCTAGAGGCATTTAACAGAGTCAGATCATCTGACAGTATTGCCATAACAATAGTAACAAGGAGGAGGAGGAGTAATAGTAGCAGTTCTTTAAAAGAATATTGCTAGCCCTACTGTTAAAAATGCTCTTTTTGTTTGGGCAGTGATAAGTTTATCTTTAATAAACTTTAATTTTTAGAACAGTTTTAAATGTATAGAAAAAAATTGGCAAATAATACAAATAATTCCTGTATATTCTCTACATAGTTTGTCCTGTTGTTAACATCTTGCATCAGTATGGTACATTTGTTATGATCAATGAACCAATATGGGTACCTTTAGTTAAAATCTATGGTCCATTCAGATTTCCTTAGTTTTTACTTAACATCCTTTTCTGTCTTGGGATCGCATCTAGAAAACCCCATGGCATTAGTTGTCCTCTCTCCTTTGACTCTTCTTGGTGGTGACAGCTTCCCAAACTTTCCTTACTTTTGACGGCCTTGAAGTTTTGACAAGTATTTGGCCAGGTATATTGCAGAATGCCCTTCTATTGAAAACTGTTTAATGTTTTTCTCATGATTAGATTGGGGAGAAAAAAAGATCGTTTCCTTTCCTAAATTCTTAGAGTTCCCGATTTTGGGACTGTTGTCAGTTGTTCATCTTTTTCTCTTACCAAAACATCAGGTGAGCAGTTGAATGGTGGGGACAGTGAAGGGGATAGGTGGCCAACAGCGAGTCTTGACTTAGACTGTAAAGTTCTCAGGAGTGGGTCAGGCTGGGGCTAGCTGTCAGACCCAGGCAGGTTACCAGTTGTCCCATTTGTAAAGAGAGGGTCTTAATGAGGCCTTTTGTGTGGA